AAACAATAAATGCTGTTTTGGCGCTGTTTAATGTGGCGTGACCGATCGCTGTAGCGCCTCAGTTCAACAGACGCAGCAGCGCGAGGCGCACGTGAACAGATCATCTCCTCCACATTAATACCAGTTTCAGCACAAAATAAACATGACTAAATATCCGAAGGCAAGTTAAAAGAAAGAGTACAACTTTACAATCCGTATCCTGTCTCATGTAATCGCTCAATCAGTGTTTCAGCCGTGCAAAGACGTCACTATAACGGCTTGTAAACAATGTCACATAACGTCGCATTTACCTAAAAAAACATATTCGGTGACCATAAACTCATTAGTCAGATAGAAAAATAAACTGTAGAGAGGGCGGCATTTTGCTAAATATATGCAACATATAACATATTCATTATAAATTTTACTGTTCTTCAAGGTTCAATTTATGTTTGAATAAATCCAAGTTTTTGACACAAATTGTCATAAAACTTAAAAACTTCATTAAGTGTAATTTTAGCAAATCAGTCAATTTTAACCTTCAATATTATAGTAATGTAGTACCTGACTCTCATATATATTTTACAGCATTAGTTGAGAGATTTTTTTTGCGATCGTCGTTGCCATGGTTGTGTACGTACGTGTGGGGCTGAGATTTCAAAATAGGGGCGAGGTTTGGGCTATGGGCGTGTTTGTTTTGGTGCTTTCAAATATCAACATAATTTGCCAAAAATTGCTTAGTGCACCTTAGGGCTGGGTAAAAAAATATCGATATCTCGATATTAATCGATTCTCATTTTTAAACAGAAAAAGTTGACATGGGTGCTTTTTTAGTGGAAAAAAAAGCTGGTAGTCTTTTGGTTACAAATAGCAGCCGAGGGCGTCTTTTGTTGCTATAACAACAGCTGCAACAGTAGCCTAGTGCTGTGTGGTGCAGAAATGTCGAGAAAGATTTAAGTTGGCTCTTGCGTTGGCTTTTTGAAGTTAACGGGGAGGAGAAATTCGGTTCACAGCGACGTTTGTGGGTGCACGACATTATACGGGGAAGGAAACTAGTACAGTAAGTCTATCTACCGGCACCTTCTCCATTTTTTCTTGTTGTTATGGAAAGGACAGGTATCGGTACTC